GGCCTCAGCGCCGGCCCGTGTTGCACCCGCTTAACTTGGAGGAACTAAGGTCCCCTCATGCCCGCGGCCCAGCCGCACACGGCAGTCACCGCCCCAAAGCGTAATCCCTGCAAGAAATACTTCTTCTTCATAGAGTCACAGAATCTTAGGGGTTGGAAGGGACCTCGAAAGATCCCCCAGTCCAACCCCCCTGCCAGGCAGGGTCACCCAGAGCACATCACACAGGAACGTGTCCAGGCAGGTTTGAATGTCTCCAGAGAAGGAGACTCCACAGCCTCCCTGGGCAGCCTGTTCCAGGGCTCTGTCACTCTCACAGGAAAGAAGTTCTTCCTGATATTCACATGGAACCTCCTATGCTCCAATTTGCACCCATTGCCCCTTGTCCTATCACTGGTCATCACTGAGAAAAGCCTAACTCCGTCCCCCTGACACTCACCCCTTCATCTACCCAAATTGCTCAGCAAGAGAGGAAGACACTCCTGGTTTGGAAACCAACAGGAAATTCCACAACTCTATATCCACTAGAGTTCCTAGATCAATGAAATTAGGAGATACAATATAAATCCTTGTGGATGTCTGTACCAATGTTTACTTCCTACACACACAAACACCTGGACTTGAGCTGATCATTGGTTCCAGAGCCTCTCTGAGGCTCCCTTTCCCTCAGCACATGAACACTAACAGAAAGATTTTTAGTTACCTTTATTGATGGTGCCTGTTAGTGGTTTCATTTGCATTGGCTGAAAGACATCAGAAAATTGGTTAGCTGGATTTTGCTAAAGTTTTGTTCTGGTGTGCTGGTAGCTTGAAGCATGCAAAGCAGAACTGCCAGCAAAAGGTGAATTTTGGAAACCTCAGCAGCCCTGAAGTGGGTGGCTAATGTAAGTAGGAAGCTATACTGGGCATAAATCAGTGACTAGGAAGACCTTTCAGTGACAGATGAGAGAGAGGACTGTGTTCTGTCGACAAATTGAGGAGGGAAATCATAGAGCCTTTCACATCTAAAATAACAATTCAAATCCCTCTCTTTATGGAAAATGGTTTTGCAGTCCTGTGCCTCGTGACAATGTGGTTGTTACACACTAATAAATCCTGCTCCCCTGGCACTGCTGGGTCTTCTGGAAGAAACGTCAGGTGGTTCCAGTGGGTTCTGCGTCCATGAATGCATCCGGCAAGCTCCAAGGGCTGAACAGGGAAACTGGCAAAATGTGTGGGAGAAGGGGATGGAGGATAGAAAAAGGCAAACATCCCTCACTTGTTCAGAGTCCCTGTGTCTTTGCCATCTGGACCACTTTGATCACCAGCTGAACAAGACATCATGGCCACTTGATCATTAAATACAGATTAATCAGCATGTGCCTGGGTTACCAGAAGAGAGATTTTGCCAGGGGTGTATCCTCGGGTTATCTTAATTGTACAGATGCATATTAGTAAAATACAAGTTTCTCTGCAAAGCATTTTTCTTTCATTGGGCTGTGACTTTCAAAGAAAAAGAAGACATTCTCTGCTGTGTAATTCTGACTCCTTTTCAGTTCATTACAATGCCACTCATTGTTTAGGGCACTTTGCAAAATTTATTAAATTGTGGATATTTTAGTGTGAACACTCGCCTGTAGTGGGGATACTCAAAGGCAACATTTTTGTAGCTCTCAGAAAAAAACATGTCACTGACACAAAGTTCTGCTTGCTGCTTTCATGAGAACCATGAAGCCTTGAAGAGTGAAGTAGTTCTCCAGACTGCATCACCTACATTAACACTTACAGGATGTTTTCTTAATAGATATGGGTGTAGCAGCAGAAGCTAAAAATAGGGAGGCTACATCCTGCACCTCAGCTGGTCACAGAAGCCATTACAAGCTGTTATTTCTGTTACAGAAATCCCCGAAGTATTCCCAGTGTAACTGCTTGAATACCACTAGGATGAGTACTCAAACCAATATGTATTTACATAATAGCTGTAATACTTTATCTTTTAGTACACACTGTGGGAAGCAAAACCCTTCCATTTGACTGGCTGCAAAACCAGCCGCAAATAACAGGAATGGGAAATGCTTATGAATACTTTTTAAAATACTTCCATGCTGTTCTGTCTAGACAAATTGACTGAAAGTATTTATTACCATCCCCTTCTGGAAGATAACACAAGCTTCAGAAGAGGGTCATGTGAGTTTTAATCAGCCCTCAAAAGCCTTCTAAACAAGAGGAATG